CAGGACCTCGTCTCAAAATAAAGGTGGAAATTGGAAAAGGACTACGGGTCGCTCAGGCAGGGGCCCAGGTTCAGTCTTAGTGCGGCCCCAAGCAACAAGTATATAGGGAAACAGTCGCCCAACCGAACAGGGCCTCTCAATCATCCAATCACTCGGATCCCTTACTTTAAGAAAACATTTTCCTGACGGTTTAGGTGGGAAATTAAGACACCATGAGGTTCAACCCAGGACAAAAGAATGACCTCACCCCTGAAGCTGATGGCGGTGAGGTCCTGCAAACACCAGTGCCTCCCGCCGAGGCGTGCACGTGTGTTCTGGGACGCCTGACAAAAGCCTCTGGACTCACAATATAACTTTCTGCCGCTTTCTGTTTCTATTCAAGGTGTCATTAAACTGAGCTCGGCTGTGGAAGGTAGGTTCTGCCGCCCGAGGCGGTGCCGTCCCGCTTCACGGCTGCCTGCGTGGCCTGTGGCTGCCGAGCTTCCGTGGCCCGTGTCCGTCCGACGCATCCGTGTGCTGCTGTCTCTGTGTATTGTGCCGCAGCCCCCGCACAGGCCCTGCGGCCTCCTGTGCCTCTCTGGCCTCAGGCCCATGACATCGGGTGACATCTGGAGCTTCCGCTCCGCCCAGCAAGGCCGAGTCCACTGCCCCCAGCTGCAGACTCTGCCCCCAGACCGAGGTCACCCACGAGGTGCCTGCAGTCTTCCTAGGAGGGAGCCGGGGTTCGTTCCCAGCTCTCCTTGGGAGTTCCACCGCACCCCGGGAGCGGCTGCCCCCCGTGGTGACACTCAGGAGCCCCAGGAGAAGGCAGAGGGCCCTAGAGCAAGCACCAGACTGGCAACTCCGCAGGGTGCCCTCCCAAGGGACCCAAGGTGGCTAATGCATCTCGGGGCTGACGTGAAGACTGGCGACTCCTGGCTGGGCTTCCCTGTCCTCAAGCAGGGACGCTGAGGTCGCTGTTGTTTCGTGAGCTTCTGTGTTCGCTGGGTTCTCGTTTGTGGTGTGCATCAGAGGTGTCATGCTCAGTCGGGCCGCTTGGAGGGGCTGCAGCTCGGGGAAGTTGGAATGGAGGGGCTCGCGCGGGGGGGAGGGACCCCCCAGCTGAGGCGGATCAGAGGGGCCGGGAGCCCCTGTGGATCCTCGACCCAGGCACATTCCGCCTGACACCCAAGGCCTGAGGCAGCTCTGGAACAGGAGGCCGGGAGGGAGGGAGGAGCTCAGCCGTGTAGTGCAGGCCCTGCCAGTGGGGGCCAGGTTCCAACACCCAACATTGCAACGAGGAAGGAAAGAAAAATCTAGGTGCAGTGGCATGGCACACGCCTGGGATCCCGGCACTCTGGGAGGCTGAAGCAGGAGGATCACAAGATTGAGCCCTGCCCGGCAATGACAATTTAAGAAGTCCCTGCTTCAAAATAAAAAAGGTCTGGGGATGCCACCCATAGGAGGCCCTGGATTCAACCCTCAGTGAAGTAGAACAGGAAAAGGCTTCACTGAAGGGGTTCAGGGTGGACAGTGGGTGACATGTGTCCAAGCCTGGCCCTCTGCCAGGCAGAGCAGACATTCAGATTCAGTAAGGCTTGGTGGCGCACACCTGTGACACCAGCACTCAGGAGGCTGAGGTAGGAGGGTCATCGTGAGTTTGAGGCCAGCCTGGACTACATAGAGAGATCCTGTCTCCAAAAAACCAAAACCAAAACAATGAAGAAAACACAACAAATGTTTTTAAAGGAGACAGCCAGAAGATTATCAGATAATGTGTAAACTATTGTGATCATTCTGCTTGAGGGTCCTACAGGGCAGAGGGGGCTCTGTCTGGACCCCCAGTTAGGCTCTCCAGGGAAGCACAGGAGTTGAGGGGTCAGGAGAGCAGGAAGCTAGAGGGTGCTAGGGCCTACGCATCCTTCCGAGCCCTGGGCCAGACACAGTGGCCGTGTGGCATCTGCAGGCCACATGCTGGCCAAGGGCCGTGCGAGCTTGGTGCTGGGGCTTTGCTGCTGTTTGGGGAGGGCCGGGTGGCCATGCACTCGAATGTGCATGTGTGTGCGTGCGTGCACACTGTGCATGCCCTGGGGAGTGTGTGTGTGACATTCTGGGCCACAGGACCTGAGCCCGGAGGCCCTGTCCCTTCCACCTGGGACCTAAGCGGCTTCACCCAGCTGGCCCTGCTGGGAGCGCCATCACCCGGGCAGAACCCACAGCCCAGACAGCTTTTTCCCCTCCTCTGAGAATGGCTCTTCTGAACTATCTGAGAACTGAAACTAGCGCTGTACTGGTAGGTAGGCCTTTTTCTTCCCTTTTTAAGGAAAAGAATAAGAAAAGCAACTGTAGGAGTCATAAGACCAAAGTCAACCAAGACGTCACGTGCTATTTTCTACCAAGAATTTTGTCGTGTAACTTGTTCTCTCCTTTGCTAAAGCAGGGGTTCCCACCTCAGCACAGGGTAGCTTTGTGTAGGCATAAAGAAAAAGCATTTTTATTTATTTTTTTTTAATCATTTTTAGATCACATTAGTGTTAGGGTTAAAAGTGGAATGCCGTTAGCCAGGCCTAGAATGCCAGCACTCAGGAAGCTGAGACAGGACTGTCAGTGCAAGTTCGAGGCCAGCCTAAGCTACACAGTGAGACCCTGTCTCAAAGTGCCAAAATAAACAAACAAATAAAAAAGTAAAACACTTGGCAAGCATGAGGTCATGAGTTTGATTCCCAGCACAAAAAAAAAAAAAAGTAGAATGGCCTTTGAAAGATTTAGAGATTAAACTCAAACAGGTGGGCCAGGGAAATAGCTCAGTAGAATAAGCGCTTGCCTGGCAAGCACAAAGGCCTGAGTTCAATCCCCAGTTCCACAAAAATAAATAAATAAATGAACAAACTCAAACAGAAACACTCATATGTGCTTTACTTTGTACGCAAAGAAAAATATTTATCAGAGGAAACAATCAAATTTGAAAGAAGTGACTGCAAAGTTCTATCCTTCACACAGGTGGCTTCTCACCTCTGGTTGTAGGTGGGTAGTCCCGCATTCTGAGAGCCCCGGGGTGACAGAAACAGGCACACAGCACCAAAGGGGTCAGGAGGTAGCTGGAGCCACTGCCCAGGAACCCATGGCTGGAATTCAAGAATGGAATCTTCTTGCTCTCCAAGAGGATTTCTCTCCTGCAACTGGAGCTGGGGTGTCAGGGAGGGATTCATCCTTCCTCGAGCAGGGCCAGAGCTCCTGTCCCACAAGGTCCCAGCCACCAGAGCTTCCCTGTACCCTGCAAACAGCTGTTTCTTCTCAGGAGGGAGGGTTGAGCCCACCAGACCTCTGTATCCACCCAGTGGAGTGAGGTGCTCAGACACAAAGAGTGGAAGCAGTGCGAGGGAGTGGGGGGCTGGGGCTGGTACTGGACAACACCATGGATGACCAGCTGTTTGTGGTGAGACCCCTGGAAGGAGAGCTGTGGGTGATGGGTAAGGCTGGATCAAAGCCCCAAGGTCACCAGATTCTTTTGAAAGCCCACATAGGACATAGTTTGCCTCCTTGGGGAAGGTCCCCTGGAGCTCCAGCTCTCAGGAGGCTTGTCATGAATGCAAGGCCAGCCTGGGCTATGTGTCGAGACCCTGTCTCAGAAAACCAAAACGCAGGAGCCCCTGTGAGGGTGCCGGGAGGTGACTTGGTTCTCCCGCAGTCCCTCACCTGTGGGGGCTGTCCCATGTCTCACTTCATGGGCACGCCCCACCCACCCACCCAAGGAGACACCTCTGCTTTCTCATCACCGCGTGCTGCTGAGATAGTTTCACAGTCCTCCGCGGAGCGGGGGAGGATGACTGTCACAAGGAAGGCTGTACTTGCTGCAGCCTCACAGCCTCGAAGCCACTCAGTGCAGAGGCTTCCCCAAGAACCAAGGAAGTGTGGACGCTGTGGCAGCAAGTGCTGTGTCCTGGTTACTGTCCTCATTGCTGAGACAAAATTCCTGGCACTCAAAATTAGAGAGGGGAGGGTTATTTAGCTCACACTTTGAAGACAGTCCAGTCTGTAATTGGCTGGCTCCAAGGCAGGACGGCACACGACAAAAGGGCAACAGTTCACAATGGGGGTAAAACAAAAAAGCAACAAGACAGTGGAGGAGCAAGCCTTTTCCCTCCATTATACTGCGTGCGGGCTACCCACCCTAGGGCAGGTGTAGCGCTCACACCCTCAGCCCCACACTAGACCATTAACCAATCACAACTCTAGATTCAGCCACCGAAAAGCCCACCCCATAACTGCGTGAGGCTTTGGGGGAACATCCAGACACAAGCCATGACATTCCACCCCACTCCCCAATTCATGGACAGCTCTTAATACAAAAGCATCTAGTCCATCTCTAAGAGTGGCCAACACCCTCATAGTTCCAGCATTCCTTAAGACTCCAGGTCCCAAGTCTCCTCCAAGATGTAAGGCAGACTCTTACACGGTAAGCCCCTGAACAAAAGAAAAGAAAGTTAAACGCCTCTAACATTCACCAGCGCAAGAGAACCATTGCCATTCCAAGGTTCCACACGGGGAAGTCGAAGGAACAGGATCAAAGCAAGTCCAAGTCCAGCAGGGCAAGCGTCAAGTCCCATGGTTCCACATGCAGCACCCACAGCGATCCATCGGCAGCAAGCTGCGATCTCCTACAGCGATCCATCGATCCATCGGCAGCAAGCTGCGATCTCCTACGGGGCTGCTGGCTCCGCCCCTGCAGCACTTCTGTGGCTGCAGCTCCCAGGCCTCCTCCACCCCTTCTCAGCAATCAGCAATCAAGAGCTCCTCAGCTCTGTCTTTGGGATCTACAGCTTTATGGGTGCTTCCTTTCTGGCCAAACTCGCAAGGTTTGCACTGGGCTCCTTGTTCTTGATTCTCAAGACAGATCTGACTAAGAGCCCCCAACAGTAGCCACACCTCCACCTCAGCATTCCACTGCCTTGAGATTTCCTCTAGAACATTACCCACTGCAATGCCCTGAACCTGAGTTCTCGGCAAAGTCCCTGGACATGAGAGAAATAAAGATAAGCACTTTGCCAAGCCATAGCACACGTCATCTGGAGTCTAACAGCCAGTGCAGTCCTTCTTCCCAGCAGAAACTTCCCAAGCCTGGTCTATACCAGCAGGATTTCTATCAGCCTTCTGGTCTTTTGAGCTCCGACCAGAATCTTCCATATAGAACAGCCTAAAGCATCCCAGCCTGGTTTTTTCAGCTTACATTTACAAACCTTTCCAATTTTTTTCCACACATCATTCCCAAACGCTCTTGAACCACATGGTCAGGAATAGTCACAGCCACCCTACTCTTGGGACCAAAGTCTGTCTTCATTACTTTTCTCTTGTTGTCGAGACAAAGTACCTGACACCCGAAGTTAAAGGAGTTAAGGCTTATTTAGCTCACAGCTTATAGAGGTTTCAAGCCATAATTAGTTGGCTCCAAGTCATGGTGGCACACGACAGAGGGCAGGAGTTCAGGGCAGCACAAAATAGCAAAGCGCCAGGGAGGAGCAGCACTAGGGAGAGAAGCAGGCCTCTCTCCTTTTCTTACCCTGCATCCCGGCTATCCACCCCAGGGCGGGGGTAGCGCTCACACCCATAATCCTAGCATTGGAT